GCCCTGGATCTGCTCGGGGTTTATGCCGTAGCGCACGCAGGCTCGGGTGCCGTCGGCAAAACGGGCCAGTCTGTTCGAACTGCGTCCGCAGCCCCCGCGCTCCAGGGCCACCACCCGGGCGCTGCGCGCAGCCTCCAGCCACGCCGCCGCTTGGGCCTCGGAAAAGCCCCGGGGCACCTGCTCATCCAAGCCACGGCTCCAGAAGACACCCTCGTGCACCGCCGCGCGCTCCGCCAGCCCGGGCCGCCCAGAGGGCACGTGCCGCCTGCGCTCGCCAGGGTGCCGCCGGGGCGGGCTGTCCGCGCCGGCCGCCAGGGTGAGCAGCGCCCTGAAAGTTTTCAGGGAGCCGCCGCGGGCGTCCCACGCCAGGGGAGGGGGCAGAGGGAAGCGAGGCACGGGCGCGTGGCCGCCTCTCCGGGCCGGACGCTGGGGGAGTCCGTCTTCGGGCGGCCGGGAGTCTGGCAGCTCAGTCCGCGGCGGCAGGAGCCCGCCCCACAGCGCCAGCAGCGAGCCCAGCGCCAGCAGCCAGAGCCCCGCGGTGGCGGCGGCGCTCCGCATCCTCCTCCCCATGCTCCCGCGGCCGCGCCGGTGCCGCCGCCGCCGCCGCTTCAAGCCGAGCCCCGGCGCCCGGGTTGGGGCGGCGAGGAGGGCCCGGCAGCTTGTTGGCTCCGGGGCTTTGGGCGCCTGAGCCCCATCGCGGCCGCGGGGCGCTGCGGGGCTCTGTCCGGCGCTCTGCCCTGCGCTGGGAACTCGCCTCGCCGCTGCTTCCCAGCTGCTTTTGTATTTCGCTGTGAGACCCTCCGGCGGGCGCGATTCACAGGCGCCCGGACCACGTGGGAGCGAGGGGGATCCCCCTCCCCCTCCTCCGCCGCCGCTCCCCGCCCCCCGCTCCCCCGCCCCTTCCTCTCTTCTTCCCCTTAAAGCGGCGATGGATCCTTCCAGGAGGGAGAGGTGGCCCCACACTGGGTCGGGTCTTAGGGGCCGGGAGGAAGCTGGGTTGGCGGCGCCCGCGCGGGGGCGTCGGAGCCGGCGGCGCTAAGCCTGACTCTTTGCTGGGCTGGAGGGACCCGCCCGGTACCCTGGCTGGGGGGTGGGGGGGAGGAGGGTGAACGCCCAGTCCCTTCGCTTGGGGCAGCGCCTGATCCGCAAACTTAACACAGACCCCCACCGCGCCCCGGGCGCTGCCAGGCGAGGATCAGGGCGGGTCCCTGTGCTTTCTTCAGGATGATTCACGCTGCCTTATGTAAATTCCCGGGAATCTACCGGAGCCACTGAGGATGTGACTCCAGCCAGGAGAGGAATCTTTTTGTAGCACACAACTTTCAAACGACATCTCCTCTCTCACCCCACGCTCACCCCACCGGTCACTGCGGGCTAGAGTTCTGAGGTTGCCTGCTCTGCCTTTCCAAGGGACTCCGGGAATCAAACCTCTTGGTGCACCTAGATCACCGAGGCCAGTTCCCGTTCACTTCTGCATCCACTCAACRAAGCCATTGTCCTCGGTTCTGGTCTGGAGCGGTAAAGTCCACAGATCCGGGTCTCCGTTAAGTGAGAATTGACGCATCATAGCCTGGATATCACCTTCGTGCTGGGGAGAGAGGTGTCAGGAATGGCTTCTTTGAAGAAAGGAGACTGCTTTGCCTACTGGGGAACTGAGGCACTGAGAAGGGATGGGGCTTCCTCAGGATTTCACGGTTAGCAAAGTGGAGACACTAAAAGGCAAACCTAGGTCTCTGGGCTGTCTGCCATTTGATTTTCTCTGCTTTAAGAAAATTATGCATTTAACTTTATTATATGTATATATAACTTATTCTATATTATATATATATTATTTTATATTTCACCTCACTGCCATTTTAGTCTGTCACTTTATTCCCTGGCTATAATTTTCAGTTAAACAAATGAAAACCAAACAAGAATACTAGTTTGCATTTGACCTACCAGTTTTGATCATTTAAAGGGAAAAGTAATGGTAGGGAGTTTGGGTTCAACCCATCAGGAATTCTCTTAGAAGCAAACTGGCCTTCTCCCTTCCCTCTTTGCATCATCCCATTGCATCCGGAATCTACGCTTTAGAAATTCCCAAGTTAGACACCTGGTTGAGTTTATGGGGGTGGAATCCGCCTCCTGAAAGCCAGAGTTTTAAAATGTTTCCTTACAAGTGTTTCTTTTCCTCCTTTCATTCCCCCCATCAGGTGTTCTTGGGGAACTTTCAACTGTACTACCTCATCAGCTGGCAGCGTGTATGTTTTATTCTCCAAAGAATAAATGCCCTTGAGTTGTAGGGCAGAGACTCTAATATTTGTGGCTCATCATAGGCATCAAAAAAGCTATATCTGGAGAGGTAAAGTCCACAGATCTGGGTCTCATGCTCATATAACATCTGGGCCTTCCAGCCCTGACCTAGTGCTATGCTTTTCAGTGTTTTGGAAGGTGTGGTAAGTACATATGACTGAAGTATGGATCTTTGTTGAACCTGTTCTGAACCACGGTCATGCCTTTTTAKGGCTCTTATCTGATGAAGGGATTACAATAGCTCCCCTGTGGATACATCAAATATATTAATTCATTAAAAGATGTTATATTCCTTCCTTCTTCAAGCTCCCTTCTCTCAAGCTTCCCTAGAGGGCAGGGACTCTCATCATTTTTTTTTTCTCTTACCACCTAACATAGTGTACTACACTAAATAAGTGCTCAGTAAATTGAATTTAATTTTTTGTCTTTTGGTTTAACTTCAACTGGGAATGTATTTTTCATACTGTGCTTTCAGCCTGAAACTATAAGCAAGATCTCCACCTTGTGGACATAAGTAGAACATCATCTAATTAAAGAAAAATACATTTTAACTGGATGATTAATTAACTTAAAACTGTGAGAGTATTAAATGGCTACTAGGGCCCAAGCCATGTCCTGGAGGCCATGGGGGAAATCCAGTGTAGTTGGTGGCTCTGCCTTTTGGCTGTTAACACAAAGTATAAGTAAATAACTACCAGGAAGCCTTCATTGTCTGTATGGGGAGTATCTCTTGTCCATTGTTTTAGGGCCGCCTGGGAATAATGCCTGGCACTTAGTAGGTKTTCAATAATAATTTGCTGAATAAATAATTGGAATGCCAATGAGATGAAACTTTGCAAGTGGCATGTATTGAGTTTTTTTTTTAACACCTTACCACTAAAGGACACAAAATAAGAACTTAATTTTTATTTTTATTTTTTTAGAGAATTTTTTTAATATTTATTTTTTAGTTTTTCGGCAGACACAACATCTTTGTATGTGGTGCTGAGGTGTGCCCGGGCCACACGCATGCCAGGCGAGCGCGCTACTGCTTGAGCCACATCCCCAGCCCCCAAAATAAGAACTTAATCTCCCCCCCACACACACAAATTCTTTATTGGCCCATTACAATCTTACGTAACAATGGGATTTTTTTGTTACATATTTATGGGTGTACACAATATAACAATATAATTTGGCCAATGCCATTCCCAGCACTTAAAAACTTGATCTTAAAAGGAAAAAATATTTTTTTTTTATTATTTTTTTTATTGGTTGTTCACAACATTACAAAGCTCATGACATATCATATTTCATACATTAGATTGAAGTGGGTTATGAACTCCCAATTTTACCCCAAATGCAGATTGCAGAATCACGTCGGTTACACATCCACAATTTTACATAATGCCCAATTAGTAATTGTTGTATTCTGCTACTTTTCCTATCCCCTAATATCCCCCTCCCCTCCCCTCCCATCTTCTCTCTCTACCCCATCTATTGTAATTCATTTCTCTCAAAAGGAAAAAATATTGATGAGGACTTTGCATAAAGGATATGGGCAGAAGCACATGATTTTCAGCCTGGGATGAATGGCTTCAGAGCTAGACAAATTCCAGGGTCTCCTAATCTTATTATGGGTACTGATGAAGAAACAGGAGCTTAGAAAAGTTGGTTAAGGGGCTGGGATTGTGGCTTAGCGGTAATGTGCTCGCCTAGCTTGTGAGGCACTGGGTTTGATCCTCAGCACCACATATAAATAAATAAAAGATATTGTGTTCACCTACTACTAAAAAAATATTTTTTAAAAAAGAAAAATTGGTTAAGTTCTATACCTTAAAAGTTGGGCTGACTTTATCACTGAGTGGCCCTTTGTCTCAGTCCCAGGACTAAATGCACCATGGAGCAGAACTGAGTGTACTAATAGAAACTTCAACAAGTGCATTGAAATGCAGAATTACAGAAAACCAATGGAATAAACCCCACTGTATGTACTTAGCGCTGCCATTTACCAGTTGTGACCTTGGGTGTGTTATTTAACGCTAAAGTACAATACAGATTTAAAAGGGTGCTTGATTTATGTTAGATGGTGTTTAAAGACATCCTTTCCTTTGCCTGTTGGACAAAGGAAAGGATTCTTTACTTCCCAGCCTGAAGATTCCCCCAACCCCCAGCAGAGGCCAAGCCTTGGTGGCTAGGATACACAGATCACCAGAGTGTAATCTCAGTCCTTCCTTCCCTCTGGCTGTTGCTTGGGAATGAGGTGCTGCTTGCCTGTCCCTAAACGGGAACTTATTTGCACCTTTAAGACTTTCTTAATACTCCTCAAGAGTTTCTCCCCAAGCCTAGACCTCCAATATCTTCAAACTTGCCTGCAGTCTTGTGTGAAAAATGATCTGGCTCATATAACCGTGCCTCCCAGGGAAGGGGTGGGGGTGGCGATTGAGTGCTAGGAGCAGGGAAGAAAGCTTGTAGCTGAAAGATTTTCCAAGTCTGGCCTTTTCATTTTCTGGCTTGTTCCTTGGGCTAGTTTTTTACCTGCTATGAGTTTCAATTTCTGAACCTGAGAAATGAGGATAATAAATCCTACCTAAGTCATGGGATTGTTATGCAGCTCAAATGAAATATTAATAGTAACCATAACAACAGTGGCAGCAAACACCTATTCAGTGTTCATTATGGGATGGGTGTGGGGCTAAATCCCGAATGTGTTTTATCCCATTTAACCCTATCCACAAGTGGTAGTATTGTCCCCACTTTACAGGTGGGAAGACTGGAGCTTAGCAGTGACAAACCTGAGGTCATATAGTGCTAACTGACAGGTTGAGGTTCTAGAATCCTTGGTAAATTATGAACTGCTTAGGACAGTGCCAAATATAAAAGTATTGCATTTAATCAAAGCAGATTAAACTCAGGTGGAATTTTTCTTTATGATGTGCTCTAGGGCTACTATTAAATGAAATGGTGAAGAGAGTGAATTCTTAAACCAGATTATATAGGTTTAAAATCTAACCCTGCCACTTACATGTGTGACGATGGGTGTGTTTCTTAACCTCTCTGTGCCTCAATGTAGTCAACTATAAAATCAGTCATTATAGTACTATTAACATTATCAATAATAAACATGATATCTTTTTTATTGTTCTCTAGATTTTGTTTTTATTTAATTTTAATTTGTCATATGTGACAACAGAATGCATTACAATTCATACTACATATATACAGCACAATTTTTCATATCTCTGGTTGTACACAAAGTAGAGTCACATCCTTTGGGTCTTCATACATGTACTTAGGGTAATGATGACCATCACATTCCACCATCTTTTCTACCCCCATGCCCTCCCTTCCCCTCCCTCCCCYTTTCCCCTTTGTCCTATCTAGAGTTCATTTAATCCCCCCCCACCACAGCATATTATAAATTAGCATCCTTAAATCAGAGAAATCATTTGGCATTTGTTTTTTGGGGTGATTGGCTAATTTCACTTAGCATTGTATTTTCCAGCTCCATC